CAAATTGTAAATAATCAGCCGGGTTTCCATCGAAACACCGTGGTTCAAATTTAGGGAGTTTGATGTTCCTATTATCCCTGAACGGCGAAACAGTAACATCAACCATGTCATGCTTAACATCAGACACATCGTTACAATTAACAGACAAGTCACCATGACTTACTTTCCTGTTTGCATCCAAGACACTCTGTCCCTTCTTTGACCCAGGCATTGTTGAACTTGACCCAATTCCAAAAAGTTCCAGATATTGCTTGTTCAAAGAGGACTTGACCGGCACCAGGAAAGATGAACGGTGACTATCCAAACTTTCACCAACTGTCTGAATCCGCCAGAATCTGTTTCTACTGTCAGAAACTGTCAGTCACGTCTCGTAAACCGTTAATGCCCAGCTCTTGCTACGCTCGGGCTCACGCTGTTCCTTGAAGTTTCTCAGAAACGCTTAGTAATAACGGACGAAAAAACCAAAACACCAACTGTTGACTCGAGGATTCTTTATTGTTACACCAACATATAAATCACGTATGACTAAGGTCTGTGAACAAATATTACAATAATAAATCACAATATTACTTCTGACGGTTGTCTCCTGACTTCTTTCTGAACAGCGACCGATGAGACGATGACTGTCGTATTGATGCCTCCGCGAAAATTGGGGAAGTTGGTTTTGAGCAAACAACCATGAATTGATCGTTCAATCTTCAACTGCATTGACACCCAGCGTGACTTTCCTAATTGCGCTGGACTGGATTATGCGTCAGACAGTGAGTGGTAAATGAGAAGACAGAGATATCCTGAACCAACATGAAGAACCTAGAATACCTGGATTTCGCGCGTGGATGATTTATGTTTGATGTCACACACACAAAATCGAAGACTTAGAGGCAAGCGAAAACCGACGAACTGGTAGAAGAAGCAGTCAGCGAAGACAGGACTCCAGGTGAACATAGACAAGACAGAGGTGATGAAAATAACCAGCCAACAACAACAACTACGACAGCAACATCCAGTGCCAATCACCATCACCGGGAGGGATTAGAAAGAGGTTACTTCGTTCACTTATCACCTAGGGGGCATTGTCTCAACTAAAGGCAGTCGGAACGGGCGAGTATGTCAAATCGAGCGAGAATCGGGAAGGCGAGCGAGAAACACATTCATCAACCTGAAACCAATCTCGAAATCTTCGTCACTCAGCCAGCATCAACAACAAAATTCGGTCGGATTTTCAATACAAACGTAAAGTCAATGAGTTCTTCTATAGGGATCAGAAACTTCGTGTGTCACTCAAAATATTTCCAACAGGTTGCAAACATTTATTAACAAATGTCTTCGCTCTATACTGAAGATCAGACGGCTGGGCCGGAAAGAATCACAAACAAGAAACTATGAGAACAAACAAACAACGCAAGAACCAATCGCCTAACAAATATGCAGGAGAAAGTAGAGATGGATCGGATAAGCGTTGAGGAGACCGCTGGGTGATATCACGCGTCAGGCCATTGCTTGAGTGGAACCCAAAGGGGAAGTGGCGAGTTGGACGTCAAAATGTGACATGGAGGAGATCATGTGAAGAGGAGTTGAAAGAGTATGGACTAACATGGATGCAGGTGAAAAGTACAGCAGAAGACAGAAGCAAATGGAGACGTGGAGTTGAAGCCCTATGTTCCACTAGGAACCCAAGGGAACAATGATAATAAATAATAATCAGCAGACTTAATCAAGTGCACAAGAGGTTAGAGATGCTGGAGTACTGGAAGAACGTTTGCATTTTCTGGGTTACTGGCTTGGGTAGATGTGTTTTGCGTAGATGATGATCTATCTGTTTTTAAAATACGGTATTAGGAACAGTTACGCATTCCTTAATTCCTGTGACATAGCGTGGTAAATGCAAGGAACTGTGGGCGTCGGACAGCAACCGCATTTTTACTAAAGTCTGAACAAAGCGACACGAGTTGAGCAGTGTTACTAGTTGGTCGGATGCAGGTGAATTAAGGTGTAAGGTCACTCATAATAAATTTTCAAAATATAGTATATGTTATCCAAGAACAAATGCAATATGAAACGAACTCGATGGATTTGCCTGAGTGTTTACCAAAGATAGAATTTGTGATGGGCTTACTGCTTTAGAGGCTGACGGTGTTGACGTTCACGGGTAGTATATGCCAACGCTAAATCTTATAGCTAACAACTCCCAGAGCATTCGTTCTGCGTAGACCAAAGGCAAATCAAAACACCCAAATGGCTCGTCCAAATTACAAAGTATATTTCAGAACAAAATTGGGCTGGGAGGCCGACAGCTTAACTGGCTAGGAATCCACTTAATTCCACTTAACAACACACTAAGTGAGTTTGTAATTGATACCAGTGCTAATTCCCATGTAAGAGTTTCAGAAATCATAGGCCCATTTAATGTATGAACTTAGAGACTACACCTGTTGTTTGTTTTGCCTCTATTTATAATCCCAGACAAAAAAGCAGCAGTCATGACAACAACACCCATTCAATTAAGAGTTGATCGAACTATGTCTACCTGATACAAACGGCGAACCATAACCAACATACGAATGAAATATGAGAAAACAAGGTCGAAACTTACCGCAACAACACATGAAAAGATAAAAGTTACTTGAACATCACTTATAATCCACCAAATGGGCTCCTTCCCAGAAAGAATGCGGCGATGTTTGATCCAAAATGGTGAGGAAATACACAAATCCACAGCTTCTGTTGTAAACACTCAGTGGGGGTAGGAGCCAACAAAGCAATCCATTCAAAGCATATGTATACTTCACATGGACACAGAGACTCTCTGCGAAATACGTCATAATCCGAATCACTGCCTATACAGCGCCAATAAACCTGGATATCTATGATATAACGAAAACATGCTGAAAGCTGCATCTCAGATCAAGTCGATTCATTCGATGGTAATGATCTGCTCCTGCATGCCTTATTCGACATATTGAATGGAATGGTTCGACGTTATTCTGGTACCAGATCGAAAAGAATAAAAAATTCACAGGTTGCTAAATCAAAAGAACGATCCAATTCTACCATTTGAAGACGCTGGTGAACATGCTGTAAATGAGTATTCATGATCTGAAATGAAGAAGCAACTGGTTTTCAGACAGTTTTTTTCGAATTTTTACTCAACTTACGAGTACAGTCCGCCATGCAGACACAAATGGCGCGAATGGAGAATTCTGGAAACGACCTCGGCACCATTTGATGCAGTAAAACAACTTAATACGACCTTATCTAGTTGTCGCCTCCATGATCAAATTTCTTTCCTGTTATGAAATTACGATAAGACTGCTGAAAAATGTATGCGTCGGTGGCACAGTGGTTAGGACTCTCGCCGACCATGTACATGGTCCGGGGTTCGGGCCCACGCCGACGCACACCTGATATCTATGGTCGGCCTGCGAATTTTGGGCTACCGATATCCACGCTGAAAATTCCACACTTGTACCAAAAATACAGTGTGGAATCAAGCTGTGATCAAAAATAAAAAAAATAAAATAATAAATATATAACTGATTTCAACATAATACATCAATAATCTTTAAGCCAAGGGTGCTGTTCACAACAGAATTATATATGAGAATTGACTTCAAGCTCTATTTTTCCCAGATATCTGTATTACATTCAAGTGATGTCTGGGTTTTTGTTAATGCGAAGACAATATTTCTATATCTCTTTATGGGCTACACAAACAGACTTTATAGCAGACTGTTCCGACTGACTCTAATGCCAGAAAGAACAACCAAACTGTAAATCCATTACACATCAAATTATATGTAATTTATATAATAACTTATCCATGCCTGTACAGTAGGTATGTTCCTGCATAAACAGGGAGAAATATATTATTATTATTAAAACAATATTTATACACGCCTATACAATTGGTGTATCCTACATAGCTAGGAAAAAAATGTACCTTATTATATTATCTTTACTAAATATGCTTATTAATCTTACGTGTAACTTATCGAATTGATGATGCCTGTAAACTGGCGTCCCTCATGTAAAAAATGAGAATATATTATTATTATTAATCGTGCACTAGCGAACTAACGTAATAAGATTGCGTGCCAAATAGCGTGGATGCTTGAACGCGGGTCTTCAGCTAATCAAGTAGACTTGGACAATGTCAGTTAGCTTCCAATGTTGAGTGATGAGTGCTTTGGCCAGTAATTGTTGAAAGTTATTTACCGCTATGGATACATAATGCCAGAAGGAGAATACTTAGCATCTCTCTGAAACCCGAGTAGAGCTTTCCCTCAGAAAGGCAATCAAAGAAGTGTGTCCTGTTTCCTGTCCCATAGTTTGTTAAATATACCATTACTTTCTGGATGATATGGGTGCCAGTGTCAGTTGGTCATTCCAAGAGAAGTCTGAGCAGTTCAGACAGAAGAGAAATTCTTAATATAGACCAAATGTCCATCACGATATCTCGGGATAACAACTATCCTAGGAGCAATCACACAGTCGTTTGTCAAGTCTAAGAAGGCCATACTTCTCTGAGGAGCACACTGTTTTTTAACGTTGAGAAAAAAGTCAAAAACTAATAAATTAAAACATTGTCGTCATGAAGCATTGAATTTTTTACTTTGACCATCACAATTTTTAAAAATGTCGGTACAATGTGCTAAATTTAGTAGTAGTTCATGCTTGAAAATTTTACGTATCTAATATAGTGGTGTTTTACAGTATTCGAACTACTGGAACTTTGTTTGTGATTGTATATTTTCACACGAAGGTGAGAAATTATTGAGCATTCCATATGATGTATCACGAATTGGGAATATTTAAGCTGTGCTCAAAAATTAAATATATATACATACATATAAATATACTCGTCATTTATGTAAACTTGCTATGTTTTACTTTTTATTTTGTGTTTTATATATGCTGTTCATGGGATAATAGTTGAATTTCTTGTTCATCAAAGAACACTATAGTCAAATCACATCATTTATATTCCTTTCAGACATACTATGTTTCCTCGTATCATCTGGAATCCTTTTTATTCTCTCAAGCTAATTTCGAATAGGAAATATGTTTCAACAGCTAAAATTCCCGAATATTTGTTGGACAGAACTGTGAAACCTGAAGAAGTTTTGGAACGTCTTACTCCATACGATAAAGAAAGACTTGAATTTTGTATGACGGAATACCGTACTATGCTTGAACAAGGTGCTAGTGTTCCCAAGTCTCTGAGCAATAAAAACATTTTGGACTTGTTGTGCTGTACGAGCTTTACATCTCGAGCTAACTTTCTGAAATTCCTGTTCAAATGTGAAAAGCGCGAGGAAAACGCCTTACTTAAAAAGGCAGAAAAGGTAAGCGAGCACTAGGTCCTCCTGAGTCATGGAAATTTCTTACTCTTCTTAAATTATTGATCTAAGGATAACTCCATTATGGATGAAATTTTATTTTGATCACATGAGTACTCATGTACATAAACGAAGCAAGAAAGTTATGTGATTACCCTGATATGATTATGAGCAATAAATTGTGCTCTAAACGTCATCAGTAGATATTGCCATATAACACTGTGTGATTTTATCAAAATTATTTTATCCATAGTGGAATTCTACTTAGATTCTTTTACATTTCATTATTTTGGTTTTCTAATCAAATGTGTATTCAGACGAGGGATCTCAATTTATTATAAAAATGTGACGTTCTGGCTGTCTGTCTGTCTGTCTGTCTGGATTCAACATAAAACTTGGCACCGAAATGCACCAGTTCGAGTTGCCACGTTCCAAATAGCACACAGGTAGGCAAGAAGATAAGTGAAGAGAATCAATAGAGTTTGACAGGTATTAGAGTGAAACAGAATGGGTAATGCTAGAAAGAAATATGCGAGATTAAAGAGACTGAATACATCTGAGCTTGCCATTCACAACGATTTTGAGCCATGTCACCTATTGTCTCCAGCCATTGATTCGTAGAGTCCCGAGGGCCCCAACGCGGAAGTCTGCATCTCCCTACCTGACTCACTTTAACTGTCAAAGATTTCATGGATTGATGCCATGTTTTTGTTTGGCCGCCACTTACTCTTCTCCAACCTGCACATATATCAGCTAGTAATGCCCGTCGAGGGAGGCGATGGTTAGGCATGCGCAGCACGTGACCTAGCCATCTCAGTCTATGTAACTTTATAGCCTCGTCGATTGATTTTCCCTGTTTGCCCAACACTCTACGCCTAACGTCAACATTACTTATCTTGTGAAACCACCTAACGTGAGAAAGAGATCTCAGACATCTATGATCGAAAGCAGTCAACCTTTTCATGTCTTCAGCTCGTATTGGCCATGTTTCAGAGCCATAGAGAAGGACGGAGCGAACTGATGAGCAGTACACACGTCCCTTGGTTGATAGCCGGATGTCACGCCTACGCCAGAGATGGTGTAAGTCAGCGAAAGCAGCTTGAGCTTTTTGGATCCATGCTGATATTTCGTCTCCAATCAGTCCGTTAGTGCTAATACAACTTCCCAAATAGGTGAAGTGGTCAACATGTTCTATCACTTCACTCCCTATCACTAAGCTAGGAGTTGACGCAGTCCAGTCCAGTAGCAGCATCTTACATTTTACAGGGGCGAATCGCATTCCAAACATACGAAGATTGCTGCTCAAGGTGTTCAGAAGACTCTGTATTTTGTCAGAATCCTCCCCTAACAGAACTATGTCATCTGCATATTCTAAGTCCATAAGACTATATATTCCCTGGTAACAAGTCGATTCCTAAGTCGTTACGTTCAGTTAAGGATACTTCCATTAGCATATCTATGATGAAGTTAAACAGGAATGGGGAAAGTGGACACCACTGGTTGTTATCAATTCAGATGGCGATTCTGCATAAGCCCTTACACGGCTACGTGAGTTTGAATAGAGTACCTTGATTAGTGCAATGTACTTTCTTGGCACTCCCTACACAGTCAAACATTGTCATAGTACTTTTCGATCCACGGATTCGAAGGTCGCCTTCAAGTCAAGAAATATGGCTATTGTTGGACGCCTAAAAGTGTGTCTAAGTTCTAGAATCTGTTGGAGAGTGAAGATATGATCTATGGACCCTCTACCTGGTCTAAAGCCTGCTTGATTTTCCGTCGTTTGTTCCTCCCGAGTTCTGCTTAGTCTCTGCATGATTACTGAGCCTTAGATTTTAGAAACTTCGTTCTGGCTAATCAACTGAAGTAGTTCATTCGCATTACAGTAAACTGCACAGCAAAAGTGTGACTTCGAATAAACAAAGAACTATATATATGCTCTGCTGAGAGGTCGAGTTATACATGTTAGATGTAATATCAGTCTCGGACTGAAACATTTCAATTTAGGTGTACTTTTTTTTAATGTTTTTAGGCGCCTTTATATACCGTGAATGACAATATATTGTATTTTATATGATTAGGTCGCGCCTATAATTCCTAAGAAACCTGCATCTTCTGACCGTATTTTGCGCATGATTGATGAAAAATACGTTCGTTTACACTGGGATTTTTGGCAAGCATCTGAAATTCGATGTCCGGATTCAGCTCAGAACCTACTGTTTGATTTTCTTTTGAATCTGAGATGAGGCTGGTTGATATAAAATCTCTTGCGAATCAAATGACGTATGTAGTAAACAGAAATCGTTTAATGCGACCACATCCATTTCACATGGTACTTTGCGGTTTAAAACAGGGGACGAATCAGTTCGCCTTTATGGAAGAAGCTTTCGGCGTAAACGCTAAGGTTTGTTTTTTTAATCAACGATTGGTGTTGAAACGGTGTATATATTATTTGCTATTTTCTGTATTGTTAGCCTCTTTGACGATATTTATTTTTTACCTCCATGTTTTTAATACAGGCGAGATTGATGTGTCGATTGTCTTTTGTTTTTAAAGTGATTTTGGAATAATTATTGTATTTTGTGTGTTCCACGTTGTATTACATCAAAAGCAATTTTCAGAGCATCCCCTTTGTACTGACTTTGATGATTATTTTCCACCCGGGCCGAATATTCAGTGTCTGATTATATTTGAGATGTAATATAAAACAACTCAAGTGGATCAGCGAAAAGTTTGTATTATAAAATTTCATTTTCTTTGATTGTACGGTTTTTTCTCAAAAGAGGATGGTAACGAATTGTCATAAGCATAGTTGCTAATATTAACCAGTAAGTATAGTTACGTGGTTACGTCGATTATTTGGTGAATTATTACTCATCACGACACAGAAAAATAGGCTGTGTGAGAGTTGCAAACAACGGAGTCATTACTGTGATAGTACAATTAGTTGAAAAATTCTCTTTTGTATGTGGAGCTCTGGTTTCCTTATATGGGAATTGCTAGACCTTCAGCACAGCAAAAGAGGTAAAAGAGCATTGCAATTTGGCAGATTGGTCTGATAGAGTGGTCAGCGTTGACGAAGTTTCCATTTCTTGCACTCCTTATGGATATGCTGCTACGTTTCCGCGACCGTAGAAGATAGTGTTTTTGAACACTTTTACAGTACATGGGTTAGGAGATCTATGCCTGGCTCCACTTATAGACATATGAGTAGTCAGCTACTAGATCTTGTCTTTCAAACCACTGAAAACCATTGGGTGATTAGAGAACTTTACTCTTAAGGTTACTGTAAAGAATTTCCTATAAGATGTTGAAATTCTTCCCTTGCGGATATCACAGGTTAGGTCGCTCACAAAGTCTCGATCTTGTTTATATAAATCATTTAAAATAAATAGCTGCCAGGATTTATTGAAAAGAACATCACACCGAAAGTTCAGAGACATAATACATTATTTGTGCCAAAAAATTTCTACATTAACCTTGTGTGACCCAACTTATGGTATCCCCAGGGGAGAAATCCCAGCATTTTTGAGAACATTGTTTACAGCAACCCTAAGAGTAGCGTCCACTGCTATATTCAGAAAGACCATTACCATTTTTATGTTTCTTCAATCGTTTTTATAAGTAAAGTATGAACTATTGATATAAGTATACAACTTGGGCACTGTGGTAGAGTATAACTCCATTAAAGATAAGATTTTACTACAGTTGATATTACTGTGCAACACTGTGTGATTTATCAAAATAAAATCTTATCTCTAATAAAGTATGAACTGAGTAAATGCATCACAATAGAGAAATCTTCGCATTTTATCTGTTCCTCAAGGTCACAGATCAATCTAACCTTTTTAGGAGAACAGTAAAGGTTGGCTAGGGCTGATGGTTTTAATGATTTAGATAATTTATGGGTACTAATCATCTGTCAGCTTAAACGTACTGTAAGTTGTTATAACTAGAATTACTATGTTGTACACTGAAATATTTCTTATTCATCTACCTAAATAACTCACCCGACTTTGTTATAGATACCCTAGTATTTTTATTATCCTTGGGGATTTCGTTTTCCCTTTGTAGGTAAAGTGCTTGAAATTCTATGGGTTTTAGGTTATTTTAAACGAGAAAATCGTTCAAAGATTGAACTGTCTTCTCACTAGGATGTCATACTTCTTTTTTCATATAGACGTTGCTTTAAATCCTGTATTTCATTGCCTAAGGGCTGTTTAAACATTTCATTCAGGAAAGGAATTTCTCCAACAAGATTTTATGTGTAAAAGGTTTTTGGAATAACGTGTGCATTATTTCTTGGTCGACGTTAGTTGTTCTACGTCCCTACCATATTAAATAGTCTGTGTTCTTGTCTTAACTGGTTTTTCAGTTAAGTAGAGTACGTTTACGCTACTGGTATTCTTTCTGTTACATTCTGTTTTCACACCTTTCATACTTATTTTTCAATTTCATATCCATTTCTCTTAAAATGTAGGGATCAAGTGTTGAAAGCCTTTATAGTCTTCCTTGGTCAATTACTCCTGATCACTTTTCAAAAGCATTTCCCATACATAGTCAGGAGCAGCCTGTGATATTATTATCACCAAACGCTCGCCGTACATTCGAAGCTGGAGAATATGATCATAATGCAGCCTATGTAATTGGTGCAGTAGTTGATAAGGCCATTCGAAGGCCAATATCTTCTGCAATAGCAAGACAGCTAGGTGAGTGTCCTAAGTACAGCTTTTAATCACTAAAGTCTAGGTGAATATATATATATATATATATATATATATATATATATATATAATTAAAAATTGATCCTTCATAATCCCATGAGCACTCATATTTGTATTAATCCACACCCCTATAAATGAGCTAGTACGGTTGAGGGTGGGCTCTAGTCTTGCTATCAACACTCTGTCGTGTCGTGTTCCTAATATCTACCGGGGAAGTCCGCTTCATTGCCTTCGCGCAGCGGTGTGTTCTCGAAAAAGTGATAGAACAGTTACAAATGTGTTTACCTTTTATAACCGAGCTGGTGGATATGGAGGTTTGTCCGGTGCAGTAGCTGAAAAACCTCGACTCCAAACCTACGCTGTACATGGCCCTGAAATCCGAAATAATCAAATGGATTGTGAAGTTGTTTTGGTTATAGGCAATCCTGGGAACTTATCTCCCAAAGGTGCCTTGCTACCAGACCTCAAGTCAAATGCTCGAGGATGCAGCCCCTAAAGACAACCACCTACTCTGGCCTGTACATCTGTGTGGCATCTTAGCCCTTGCATAAATCGTGGAACTATCAATGGAAAATGCTACTAGCATGTACGCTATCACAAATTACCTCGTTGATCATACATCGAGCAACTTTTTCATTTTATATTTCATATATAAATGGGTTTGTTTTTATCACCTTTACATTTTTCAGTATCCACTTTCGTCAGCCATTCGCAGTTGTTGGAAATCTCAGTGTGTCCGTACCACTTTTGGGTTTCCAGTATGTTACTTTCAGAATGTTGGCCTTCAGTGAAATATCTAACACGGCTATTCTGACATCGTATGTCGCATTCAAGCTTCCCACCTACAATGAGCCAAACTAGACAACAGACGTGTTTAGCGGAAACTCTGGGAAGCCTTGCTATCAAAATACGTTACATCACCACTACCTGTGAAGTACTTCGAATATCCTTTCCATCTTCAAGTTCGGATACTGTGTATCATAGGAGAGTTGTCTTTTAGTCATCTTTGCCTATGCAACGATGAATTTCAGTCCATATTCAGTTAAGGATGATTTCTCCTATCAACTGGATAAGAGCTTGAAGCATGCAGGTCCGACATATCGTATTGCTAGCTGTAGACTTGAATGTGTGACTTGGTATCTAAATTCAAAGGAGAGTCGTTCAGGTGGTTAGTGACGACTAAGTTGTCACGAGTCAGATAGCTGGAAATGTCCTCTGCAGATCTGTTCACATCGTAACTTCTATCTATCCATCACCGACCTTTGGCACAGCCTTCACCGTAGTATTAGCTAGTGTCTTTGCCCTGTCATCCAAACGTGGACTCAAACGCATCTGACTCTTATCAGCTACCAGTTTCGTAGGTGAATAGAGGACTGCCACAATTGAAGCACTTGTCCCTATTCTGATCACACTTTAGTATGTGTCAGGTCTGTCTGGGAAATTCGTGATCATAAAAATAGTCTTCAACAGGCTGAAGTGAATAAGCGCGTGGCTCCTGATACTTCTTCGAAGTGTTGACTCAAGCTAGACTCAAAGCTAACTACTAACATTCCCATCAAACCCATGGCTTGCCCAAACCAACTTGTCTATATTAGCAAGACAATGCAATGAAAATGAAATGGTGAGTAAAGCGACTTGCTGCTTGGAAAGTCTCGCTATAAACCAACAGGTTTCTGCTAGTTCCTTGCAACTTCTTTGACAACTGTCTGTCCACTCCGACAAACAGAGAGTATAACAACTTGAATAAGGCTGTTACGCATACGATGAAACGACGCCTGCGTATGTACTGCGAAGCATATTGGTCGGAACATGTTTGTGGGGAGGAGTCATCAGTTGCATCTGGTAATAGTAGGAAGCTGTTCCAGGTCATTCGATCCACCTGTAACAAGAAGCGTGGTGTCGTCGAGGCGACTGGTAGGGCTGACGGTACGCTGATTAATAAACTGGAGAGAAGATTGGAGCCTTGGGCAGAACACTTAGACAAACAGTTTAGTCTATCTATAGTGAAAGTATTGAACATCATTAATTACGGTGCATCATGGAAGGTGAATACAAATTCACCGAAAGAAATGGAGATCTGAAAACAACTTGAAGCTCTCAAGGTCCATAAGCAATTCCATCCAGACAACCTACTCCCGGCTTTTCTGAAAGGTGGTGGTCAGACTGTAGTCAGGAGACCTACTGGATTGTTCAAGAATGCATCGGAAGGTAAGGATGTTCCATTAATGAGTACCGGATCTTATCGTGACTGTCTTTAGAAAGAACCTACATAGCGTACATAACAACCACTGCGGTATTATTCTGTGATGGTGTATACCTGCTGCCTGAGGAATGACTTCTTACTTCAAGAATGCAGATAGCGTCATTTTACTGTGCGATTATACACAGATTACCCAAATTGCACCTAGCCAACTGGCCATCAATGTCTATACTTATGGCATATACTTTACTGCATCGAGATGCAAAGTATTGCCGTAAGATTGATAAGTGCCAACCTGAGCGGCCTCGTGTACTGTCATGACCTTAGTCTGGTCGCCAGAGACCGAGTTTACAATGCTTCGGTGCACAAATTCTTGCCCTTTGTGCACGTGAAACTTAACCCCTCCAATCTAAGTATGTGGAATGATTCTGTGTATTCGATCGTCGCTGTCTCCATAGGATTGCTTGCATCCCGAAGCATCATCGTGTGAGTAATTCTAAGGTCTCGCAGTGTTTGTTTGAACCAGGTAGAGAATGTATTTCAATAAGTGTTATCATCGTAAAACACCGGTTTCGGAGGCTCAGACCTGAGTTACAAGTGCCATTCCAACAGCCTACATACTGTTCATCTATTCGCCAACCCTGGCATTATGTGGTAAAAATGGGAGATATTCGGAGTAGTGATGTTCGAGCAGCGTGATCTTCTTGTTTTAACCCAGTTAACAATTAGTACCGACAGTCATGCAAAACAAAATAATATAAAAGAAATATATGAGCAGAAAAAATGCGATAGCTATGGAATAAAAGAACCAATAATTAAACATTCTATGTTGTTTTGGAATTGAATTAAGAGTTCATTCACTTCAGTACTTCAGAATGTCGACATAATTCTTTCATATCTTATGTTCAGTATTTGTTGGCACTTGCTTATAGTGTTCTTGTGACTTTGAAATAGCTATTTAATGTTATTATCAAGACTCATTGCACATTTGGCATAAAAGCTAATTATTTAAACAACTCTAGTTTCAGGCTATCATGCAATTCCTCACTAACTAAACTTTAAAAGTATCTGTTATTTTGACTTTTTGATTAGAATTGCATGAATAAGTGACATAACCTTTTCGCTGTCAGTTACACCAGTAAAAACCATTGATCAAAGGCGCAAAACACCTTCCCCCAATTGTTATATGTGACTGTCGCTTCAATATCATTCTTTACAATTCACCATAGAAAAGGAATCTGAACTAAGTATTCCGTTTCTTGATGTGTGCCTCAGCAGACGTAATGACGGATCTCTCAAGAGATCTATCCACCGGAAACGTACATGGAACGGACAACTAATTTTTACAGTTGGGAGCCTATTTCCGGGAAAAGGAATTTAATTCATTCACTCTGCTTTAGGATAAGGAAAATTTGTAGTTCTGATTGCGTTAACTCAGAACTTGACTTCTTGAAAGCCACACTCACAGAAAATGGTTACCCTAACCGATTTATTGACAGCAACATGAAAGATAAGCAGTCTAAACTGGTTACCGACTCAGTTCCAAAGAAAACCTTATTCATGAACTTGGAATTCAAAGGAGATCAAGCTTCAGATATGCTCAAAAATCGCTCTCTAAATCAGTTAGTAAAACGTTCCCTGCAGCTAGATTACATATGACGTTCACGAGCCGCAAATTGTTCTCTACCTCCGTAAAAGATAAGCTCCCCCGTCTGACCGCCTCCGTGTGCATCTACCACTTCACCTGCTCTTGTGAAGCAAGGTGCATTGGCCGTAGTCAGAGAACGCTCTCCACACAGATACGAGAACATATTCTAGCTTGGTTTTACAAGGGAGAAAGGAAATGTGTGCGAAGCTCTATTCTGGAACACCTGGTCGACTTCTGTCATTCGGTCAACCCTGACCATGATTTCAAGATCATATATAGAATTCATGCTAGCTTCCCGCGTTTTCTTCGTTACAGACTTCTGAAGACAGCTGAGGCCTTGGCAATTCATGACTGTAAGCCAGACCTTTGTGTACAAAAGAAGCATGTACAATCCCTACTTCTGCCTTGGCCGTAGAGGGATAGACATCTATTTATTTTATTTATTTAGTTATTCTATGTACTTTTCCCTTATTACTTCGATCATTATTATTATTACGACTCTCGCTCTGAATCTTTTCCACTTGACCTACTTAACATTTTAAACCAAAAATTATTCATGTGTATACTTTTTATTTTTACAATATTACATTCTATTTTTATCAAATTTCACACCATGTTACGTAACATTTTATATTCGTCTACTAATCTTACAATTATATACCTCTCTCCAAAATCTATACACCTTATGTATCATTCTATATATGACATTAATTATTGTGCCACTTGACTTAAACTATGAATGTAAAATATTTTAATTTCATTTCATACTATTATTATTTCATGTATTCACACCTTTGACCTAATTCCCTCACCGGATATAATTTCTTTATAAAACCGAATATATACGGTTGTACAGCTTGATAACAAATTCGTTGAAAAGAATCTCTTCGCTGAAAATTGTGTTCTTAAATATCATTCTCCTATTGTGTACTAGATTCATGCCTATCCATTTGCATGGTTGAAGATTTTTTTTTTAATAATAATAATAATCACTTTATTCCACAACAATAACAATTTACAGCGTGGAATTTTCAGCTTTTCTTTTACATATTGCAATGGTTTAGCTCTGTTTATAATAATATAAGTGTATAAAATGTTAAAATATTGATAGTTAATAGGAAAAAATAAAACCCCAACAAAATCACACCATTTCTAGGTCATAGTGAATAATAAATAAATAATATAACAAATAACACATGCATTAATATGCATCATTACATTTTATAGTTTAGTTATTGATTCAAAAGTTGTGAAAGTTCTTTTCTGATATTTGTCTCTTTACACAATACTCGTGCCAAATATGGTACGGTCGAATTTACACTAAGAGCTTTGTATTATGTTAGTTTTGAGGAGATTTTTATATCTGTCGACTTCTGAATTATACCATGGAGATTAACTGAGTATTTGTATTTGTGTTATTGGTTTCTCTGTCAAACACCCACGAAGTTGTTTCGAATTAAGCATATCTAATATTGCTAAAAGATGGGGGTAAGTATTCTTTTCTAGTTTACACTTTACACCAAGTGTGTACAAACTTAATTCTCTTATTATGGTTCTGTCGTAATTTTATATTCCAATGTATTCATTATAATGAATTTGTATAACTTTACGCTGAGACAAACTAACCTAGAGCCATACTCGAAAGCCTATTATTTCACGTTGTAAGTGGTAAATTAACCTGACTCCTATTGAGTAACGCAGGTCATTCCACTTTGGTGTTAAAACTAAGTTCAGTTCGCAAGCGGATTCACCTAGTTTTCTCTTTTGCAAAGTATAATTTGCATACCTCACACCACCAAATTCACCAATAGTGTCATATAGCTTCAGTGCGAAAGTTCTCAAATGTACTTTTATACGTCTGCGAAGCAATGCACGAATGTAATTCACTGTCATTTTAGCAGTTGACTGACCTCTGTTCTTCTACATTTTCTTGTCTACTTCTAGGCATCAAATGTGTCAGTCTACCTCTGGATCGCTATTTGAAATGGGGAAGTGGCAAAAGCAAAACACTGTCCATAAACTGTATACATGGGATAATGGCTACAGCAAAGGAAACTAATGGCGATTGGAAGACAGCTCTAATTGAAAATATTCCTACTCGGTTCTACTCTTCACCATCAAAGACAAAATCTTCTTTAATCTATAGAAATTTATAAGATTGTTATTCTAGTATTTATATTTGTATATAATTCAGTCATAAAAACACTTTAAAAAGTGAAAATCAGTTTTTCTACATTAGGACGGTCTTGTACTTGGAATGGTGGCGAAAGCTTTCGCCTAATTGTTTATTGAATAGTGTCTTTTGTGTGATGCTATCTTTCGTAATTAGTATTTTGGGAGGCCTGAAATTTAATGTAAATAGACGTGTGTACAAAACGCAGGGACAGTGATACAACTCATTATTTGTTGTTGTTTTCATTTATGTACTCTGATCATACTTGAACACTCGACGAACATAATGCAGACATTACATCAGAAGGTAATTGAGGTCTTTATAAAAACCATACTCTTGTTCAAGCTATTTAGAAACACAAACTTATCATAGGAACCTTATGAATGTCTTGTTGTAGTACTGGATGAAGTATTTTTAAGAGCCCTCCGAGATAAACTGGCACGTCGAATGGTAGGCAGTCTCCGGTCTTCGCAAAATGTCCTCAGTTGTAATGTCCCCCTAGACTCCGTCAGATAAGTGCTTTCCATCCTGTCTTTACTGAGGACTGACGTGTGCTTACAAAAGTAAGAAGGCACGAATGCATCTCCTTAAGGAGCACCGTTTCTATACTTATAGCCCTGTGGTAAAGTATAATTGCATTATGGATACAATTTTGTTTTGATGAATTCACGCAGTTTTATGACCTTTCGAGCACAATTGACACACAACAGGGCGGGACAAAGTTAAAATTCTAAAGAGTAATATAGGCAGGTGGAGATAGAGAGAAATTGATTACGGAATCATGGTTCATCGGGTCTACACCCAACACTCAATGCAAATGCCAGAGATTATTACCATTAAAATCAGAGAATTATAAATGATGTTAAAATATATTGCAATTTACATTATAACCCAACAAAAGATTTCCTCCGCTATAGCATCCCTCCCGACATCACATGAAGCTGGACCTGATGGAATTTCATCTATCTTGTTGAAAAGAGGTGGTGAGGACATACCCACTATCCTTCTAAAGTTTTTTTAAATCTGTCCTTAAATAATGCCAGTTACCCAGAATGCTGGAAGATGTCGTTTATAACCCCTAGGGACAAACAAGGACCAACTTCTAATATCGAAAACTACCGACCGATTAATATCACGTCAGTAGTTTCCAGGGTTATGGAAAAGGTTATAGGGCAAGATATTGCTTCATACCTCCACCTTCACAAAGTGTTTACTCCAGCACAACACGGCTTCTTGAAAAATCGATCATGCTCCACCTGCCTACTTGACTACTTTGATGATGTTACCGCTAAGCGTGATCATGGTTTGTATGTCACAACTCTCTTCTTTGACTTCAAAAAAGCCTTTGATAAAGTCCCACACAAGAGACTAATCCTTAAGCTAAAGTCGTACGGGTTCCAAGACCCCTTGTTATCCTGGCTCATTTCTTTCTTGGAAGATCGTTCCCAAGTTGTGAAATTTGCAAATAATTACTCGTCACCCAGACCTATACGAAGTGGAGTGATTCAGGGTAGTGTACTAGGTCCACTGCTTTTCGTAATCTACATTAACGACATCTGCAGCGTAATCAAGCATGGTACCCCATACCTCTTTGCTGACGACTTAAAGATTATATACAGCTTCCCCCATTCTACACTAAACGAAGGATTCACACATATTCAAGATAATCTGGATAGGTTACATAACTGGAGCAATGACTGGCAACTGCCATTCAATTCTGATAAATGTGGTGTCCTATATTTCAATAACTCCCATCCGAATTTCAGGTTACACCTAAATGACTCTTTTCTCCAAACCCTCAATTCCATAAAAGACCTGGGAGTTACCTACTCGCAAAAATTAAAACTCAGTCAGTACGCAAAAGCACTTGTTTCTAAATGCCGAAGACTCACAGGCTTGTTGCATCGAAAAATGTACACAAATGAGGCTAAAGTCCTTTTATACAAAGTCATGGTTCGTCCAGTACTTGAATACTGCACAATTGTCTTCGGTTTCATGCATGGGTATGACAGGATTCGTATTGAAAATATTTAGCGAAGTTTTACTCGACGCCTATTACACAAACATGAAGGACTGACTTACGCTGATAGGTGCAAAATGTATGGACTTCAGCCACTTTGGTTAAGGCGCCTGAAACTCAACCTCATATTCCTCTTTCGCCTTTTACACGGCTACATCAAAAGCAGTAATCCAATAGCTTTCAACAATTTAACCATATATACTCTTAGGAATCATGAAAATACTCCATCCATAACCCGGTACCGGACAAAACTGCGATCACTTTTCTTCAAAATGCACTTCCACATACTTTACGTAGTTGCCGATCTCCTACTGAATTCCAGCGCCTCCTTAACAAGTTCTTGTCAACGAGTTTCTTGTCGGTTCACTTATCCATAATTTACCCAACTAACTTTAGTACTAATAGAAAAGATTTGTAACTCAGGTGGATGATTTGGAATTGATAGTTTTCTCTGAGCTCCTTGGTTTAATTGCGGAGCTTTCATCGTACTGCAGACCCCAGTGCAATACCCCCAATTTGAGGAAACTCATTTGCCCCAGCAATCGTACCACATCTAAAAAGTGACAAAACCATCCAATCTCCCCCACATGTCTTGACCTAAGGTTCGTTTATTCAGCTTATTAGAGATCCTATCAATATTTCATCAATCGGGTTTATAAACTCATAAGACCTATCTGTAATTATCCTGGACGTATAATCCCAAATTATTTGTGATAGTTCTTCCATAATATAAGCAAACTGGCACTTTGTAATGTTTAAAGCATGCCATATGAAAAGTGGCCAGGAAAACCTAGCAATAACAAACTCAGCCAACCAACCTTTAACCCCAAGTTCATTCAACCCAACCTTATCCCTAATTGTACCACTATCCACTACACTCTACTCAGTAGATTATGACGTAATTTGCTACGGTACTCAAAACTCTTCTACCTTTTACTTTTAAAGACGTTTTAACTACTAACTGCGCAGTAACCGTTTAACTAACTCACTGATTTTCTCTTCACTGTAATCTTCAATAAGTTTGTCAGTATAATTATTTCTAAAAACAATTACATTAGGAACCATATCTTTTAATATTTTACATATATACTTATATTATTAGTATAATACACTGTACTATTTTTGAGTTGAAATGACTATCTTCAGTCAACAGTTAGCTATTTTCATGTAATTTTCTAAAATTCATAGTGTTAAAGAGCTGTGTAGTACTTTTTCCATCATATAGTTGATGAGTCACTTTGCAATGTGTAACGCACACCATATAAAATCAGTCGTGAAAATTTAGCCTGACAAGTTCTGCTAACCAGTTGCTTTTCTCGGGACCACTTTACATAACTTTATCACTAATTGTTCCACTACTCATATCACACTGACAAATAGAATATAACTTAGTTGCTCTAATATTAGCTATTTTTATACTTCATAACTCTTAACGGAAACTTAATTTCTTAGTCTTTTGTAGAAACCCACTTATTCACTAGCATGATGATAATACTGCTAAGAATGCCCTCTGGTATTATCGTGCATTTGTCATCAATGCTGTTAATGTGCAGCATACTGTATGATTGAGACGGGGTCAAAGCAATGCAATTTTACAACTGCAGTCATTGTAAAAGGTCTTAGAGTTTAATGTCAAAAGAGGAGGGAGGGTGGTGTATGCTGATCAGCAGATTTGGTAGTGGTCACAAATGTGAATCGCTCCGATTTGTAGGACAGCAACATGCATTATTTTGGCAGCTCGAGAATTAAACATGAGTTTAGATTCTCAGTATAAAAAAATTAACTTCAAGAAAATTAAAAAAAACAATAATGACTGTGCAGATTTAACTTATTAAAAAAATAATGCTTTTGCTCCTGACATCTACAAGCCTGCTCAGTTTCTTGTCAAGATGCTACGCATGGGCCATACAACACAAGTTTGCCAGACATCTTACAGGTCAGCATATCCAACAGGTTCTAGTCCCTCAAGCCACTTCTCTCTGAAATGTCATTTATATACTTCACGACAATCCTTCTATCTAATTACTATTATACTATACTTTATCTCAACTTCCTAGGCCTTTAATAAAACTGAAATTACGGAATATACACATTGGGTCATAGGAGTTAATAAGAAGACAATTGCAGCGAAGAAAATTTTCTTTTTGACGAAGTCATCATCTAGGCTGTACATTCGTGTATTTATATCAAATGGATGGGAAAGTTGCAGAATAATTTCCGATTAAGGTTCAAATTAATAAAAATTACAATTAGGAATTAGAATGCCATAATAAACAGGGTGACGGATAAAACTCAAACAAAGTAGCATCATAATAACTAAGAAGATTGACATTGTGCAATTAGGGGCTAGAAATGTAGAAATAACAAAATAGACAGGATGTTTGGATTAAATATGTACAAACAGTTAAATGACAAAATAAACACGAAATTCGGGTATGAAAATATGGTAGTGTAAACAGGGATTAAGAAAGACTTAAAATAACATGAATAAACAGGAAGTTTAGATAAGAAAGGCGACGGGATGGTCATTACCTATTCATGATGGCCATGGCAGCGAAAAAGGTTGAACGTATTTCTTTTGGATACAAAGCGTGGGTTTGAGCTTTTGGATAGCTAATGCCTCGGCTATGCCCAGATGTCTTGATTTCACTCCCTTTGATAGGTTTGATTGGATCTTGTATATTACTTTGAAGAATTTTTCGAAAGGCGCTGAATGTCCTGAATTCATCAGATGTTCTGCCACTGAACTGTATACACGCTTTTGGTCTCCTTTTACTAACCAGGCTGGGTAGTGTTCACGAGCGCGTTTTTCAAGACGGCGCATGGTACGGCCAACGTACTCAGCTCCACAAGAGCAAGTAAACTGGTATATGCACGTTGAGGTGGCCAAATGATCAGCTTGTCTTTCGCGTTCTGGCTGAACAGTTTCTTGCAGGACAACGTCAGTCGCAGGCTAGCGGCGA